GCCCAGGCTGAAATACTAGACTGACCAACAAAGGAAATAAGAACAGGTGTGAGAGTAATCAACGTTCTGGAGATGAGGAGTGCTGATAATTGGATTAGTGAGAGTCTATAGTCATGTGATGCAGCAAGGAGTTCTGGGAATTGGAGTCCTGGGCTTTAAGGTATCAAGAGGGGCCCTCTAACCCCTGCATACACAAAACAGCCTTTATGTTTAAAATGCCAGGATCACCCAGGATCACACTGTTAAAGTCGGGGAAACTTTTCAGCAAATGAAGCATAAAAATAATATAAAAGATGCAAAAAGAGAGATTACTATACCATTCTACACACAGTTACTGGTCTTTTTGTCAGAAACACCTACCATGCAGGTGCTTTACAATTACTGACTGAAGCCCCATTCTCATCTATCCATCAAAGAGACCACCGCAGGACCACCACTGACCAGATATTATGTGAGTGGTGGACCATTCTCAGCGCAGCAGTGACACTGATGTGGTAGTGTGATGGTAGTGTGTGTGGAGTCTCAGGCACAGCAGTGCTACCTGAATCCGTGTGATGAGTGCCCTCTGTCCACAGGGCGTGAGTGATCACTGAGTGATTTGTTGGTGCCTGAGCGGGTGACGTGTCCGTGTCTTAACAGGGCAGTTTCATTGCTTGAGCTGACGTCGTAATTTCTACCATCAAACTGTAAAATGTGTTGTGGGAGAGTTTTGTTGTTGGAAATTCCATGGGTTTTTCTACATTTCTGCATAACTAAATCACTGAGATGTAAACAGAGTCATTTAAAGGCATTTTTCAAAAAGTGGTGCAATACAGACTGGCTAACCTCTTGAGACTGCGGACAACGATGATACAGACCAACAGTCTCGATGTCTACAATGCAAATACAGACGTTTAATTTACGGTTCAAAACGACCAGTGATCCTAAACGTGCCTTGTGAAAATTATACAGTACTTTGTAAAAGTCAGACACAACCTTCCATTTATTTCATTACTGGTCAATTTCCAGCTGTTAAGTCCAAGTTATTATTTTTTCAGTGTCAGGAAGAAGCAGATGTGTTTAACAGACACATGTTTGACAGATATTTACACAAAAAATCTCCAAAAATATGATGTTTTCCAGTATTGTGTTTAAAGACTGTCTTTTTTACAGCTTTTATTTGTTTGGGAGTCTTATTTTAGTTTTGTTCTGCATGGAAGTTTAAAAAAAATCAGGGATGTTTTTCCACATCTCCAAAGTTCAGTCTTAGAAGTTGGTTGCATTTCCTGCAGCTCACAAATGAAGTAATCACATTCGGTGATGTTGAGCTCTGGACTCTGGACTCCCTGAAGGTGCGCCACAATTTCTTTTAGCAAACATCTAACATAAAAACAATGTCTCAGGCAACAGGCAGGTATTCATAACCATTTCAGGTAATATCTCTCTGGAGGCATTAAAGACTTCAGACATCTGGTTCACTCACACTGTGAACAGCTATGCATCATTAAGCTGCTCTAGAATGAAGCATTTCTCACTAAACTGTCGGGACTAGGTGTGATTCCCGCTCGCTCAGAGCCCCAACATATGGATAAAATTATACTAATCTGTTCTATAACTATGTTTCAGTTCTTTAATTAATCTAATTGTTTGTTCTCGTCATAAACGCAAAATAAAATAAAGTTCAGTCAAAAATAAAAGAAAGTTGAATAAAAGACTTCAGCCGTTAAGTTCTTTTGAAGGAAGGAAAAGGCCCTCTTCATTTATTGAGCTTCAGGTGGCAAGATGGCTCCCGGACAGCCAAATGCAAAGTACATTACAGAAACATCATTTTTTATACCCTGTTTGGGGGCGATGAAGTAATCGCCCCCTCCCTCTCACCTTTTCTCAGTTCACTTTGGTTCCTATTATTTCCCATCCTTACACTCCAGTTGGAAACCCTCATTTCTGACCGCACACGTCCTTGATTTTTTTTTAAAACTTGCATGCTCAGCTATCCCAAGCTGCCCCCATCCTTTCAAGGTTTTTAATTAAATTTTGTCTTTTTAAACTGGTTCCAACACTGATACTGTCTGGTTCCCTATCAGCTTACCTCCCTTCTCACGGGTCAGCTTGTCCTTGCAACAAAGTACACTAGCTTCTAGATGCTTCTGAACTTCAGGGACTTTCCCATGCAAAATCCCCTAACCTACACACAGCATGGCCTATCCTTAGTGAGAGGATTAATACACTTTTGTCAATCAACTTTTTAGTATATGATTATGGATTTCTTATTGATTATAATAGTAATATATTCATTATAACTCGACAAGGAACAGAAAAACGAAGGCTGACAGAATAAATGGCATCAAAACCAAAGCGTAATTTGTTGATGACTCTCATAAGAGATTCTTTGAGAGCTCGTTCTCGAGACTTCTCCTGTCATGGTAGAGCAGGAGTGTCCAAACGTTTTACAAAGAGAACCAGATCATACCATGGAAAAAACCCGAGGGCTGGAATATTATTTACAAATGATTCAAAATATTAAGCTTTCAAAATTCTATAAATTTTATAGAACCAGAGCTTTTTTAGCTGTGCTGCCGTGTTTCCTACTGTATAAAAGATGCAAAAGGCTTCTTTTATCGTTGGACTGCTAAGAGTAGTTGGGATAGCTAAGCACACAGGACAGATAATCAAATTGTTATAAATAAGAGTAATAACATAACGGTAGAGAGTAATAACATAACATGTCTAATGCATTTAGTATAATCCTGCTCAAGTGCTTACCTGTTCAAAAATATCATTTATGAGACTAAATAAAAAATACTAATAACTACTAAATAAAAAATACTAATAGTGTAGAAATACTAATAATTACGGTAACACTTTCTATGAATGTCACCTTTGTAAGCATTTATAAACACATTTATAACATGTTATAATGTATTCATAAGGCATTATACACATGGTTATAAATATTTATTAAAAAAGAATTACACTGAATTACACTTTATAGCCATGTTTATTATGCATTAGGAATTGTTCATATGATGCATTATAAATAGTGTTAATAACATGTTATAATGTCAGTGACAAAGAAGTCAGTCCCAGCTTGGAGAGCGTAAAGTAAAGACAAATACCAAGCTAACGGTGGTGAACATTACCTTTCCCACATTGGGTAAAACACTGATGCAGCTCTAGTTTAAACTCTGACATTTGAAGCCTGTAATGTGCTTTACTGTGAATGTTTTAGTGTTTCAGTAAATCCTTCAGTAAATACTTCAACTTGAAGCCTCACTCTGAACACTGGAGGAGGCTTTAGTACAGTACGCTTCACTTTACTTAGAGCGGACAAATACAACTTATGAGCTCTTATAATTTGTTATGATCAGCTTATAATGTATTATGTTAACAATTCATAATGCATAATAAACATGGCTATAACGTATAATGCATATTTATAAATATTTATAGCCATGTTTATAATGCATTATGAATGCATTATAACAAGTTATGAATGTGTTTATAGATGCTTATAAAGGTGACATTCAAAGAAAGTGTTACCATAATTACTAATGACTAAACGTGTATTTTTGGTTTTGTTAGATGATGTTCTTCACATGTCAAATAAATGCAGCACATTGTTATTCAACCCTAAAAGCTTAATATTTACTACTGAACTAACTACTGAATTTGCTCTGATAGGACGTTGGTGCTGGGAGACCCTGGTAGCTTTCAGTTGCCTTAGTTTCTCTGAATTTCCCTGGATATGTTTTGTAATATCTATTGATATTGAATTCATTCCAGTCTTTTGACATATGAGACGTGCATTTACTGCGGCTCTCGATGGAGAAAGTGTTTAATTTCCCATCTCGCCAAAATCGCTGCTTGTTCAGTTTGAGCTTTATGGCTGTAGTCTTGATTAAATGTCGTTCAGCAAGGCTTTCAAACTTTAGCTAACTTTGTTGCCAAAGTGCAGCACATTACTTTGTAATTTTGCAAAAATGCTGCCACCATCTGGTGAAACTACCAACAGAAGCCATGGGCCAAATTAAAATCTGTCTGAGGGCTGCATTTGGCCCTGGGGCCAGACTTTGGACACCCCTGTGTTAGAGACCCTTCAAACCGTTGAATTTGATACTTACGACTGAATCAAGTACAGTCATTGCTAAGTGAAAGGTGTTTTGAACTATTTTATTTAATTCACATGAATCATTATTTCAAGCGTTTCCATTATTTTGGCCATTTCTTGTATATATTCAGTAACAAACCTCTCTACCTTTTGGTTGAGATTAAAACTATAGATGCTCCTGGTCTGCAGCTGTAAAAGGTTCAATGATATTCAGAATAAAAAACTCACAAAACAAAGCATAACTTCCTAATAATCCTTGGTGATTTATGAATGACTGTAGAAAACGCTGTCTCTAAAATTATCATGCTGGACAAAAACCTTTCCCATCACTTTAGAGATGTTTTAAATAGGGCTTTTCATACATGACACAAAACCAATTTCAGTAATTGCTTCGTTAAATGTTATTCATATTTCCCACTGTAAGTGTTTCCATTATTTCATCGGTTTCCTGTATTGTGTTCAGTAAAAACCTCTTAACCTTTTAGTTAATAATAAAAAATACAGTCTGCATTTGTACGTGATTCATACAATTGTTTTGACGTACTTCAAGCTTCACTCACTCAAACAACAAAGCCACCTTTGTGCACTTTTGCTGGGGTTACTAATTAACCCTCAGTAGAGGCGAGGTATACCACCAGGCAGCCCCGACCACGGATCCATAAAAAAAGGAAAATAAAGTGTGGACATCACACGTTGGATGAGGTCAGCCAGAATTTATGAATTTACTTTTATGGTGCTGTAAAGCTGAGTGTGTTTGTTCATTAACTACAGAGAGACAGACTCTCGGATGTGAGTGGCTGGACTGTGATATGGCCTGAAGTGTGAATCCTTTATAAGGAGCACCGGTGAGAGAAGTAGGGCATAACACTGAGGTGAAAACACCTGAGGATCACCTGAAGAGCACCTGGAGAACACCTGGGAACGACTTATTTCACAACCTCAACATGAAGGCTGTCGTCTCTGCTGCTTTGCTTTTCGCCACTCTGGTCCTTTTCTCTGAGGCCGTCCAAGTCCAGGCAAGTTCTAACCTTTATTTTATGAGTTCCAGTATGAATTTGAACTGATCTCATCATCTTTTGGCTTCTATGTCAACAACCTGTGAAGACTTATAAAAACAGAATTTGTGAATTATTACAATCCTGCCTACAAACAACAGCCACACAAGTAACTGAGTAGTTATTGCCCGCTTAAATTCAATTGCCCTGTTCTTTAACTACAGACCTCCGTGTTGTGTCCCCACTAGAAAAGACTGCTTTACATTTCGACCTCCTTCTTTTCAACTGAGACCGAGACAGTTTAGCTGTTAATAGGCCACCTTCTCAGGGGCTTCGACTCCTAAATCAGTCGCTGTGCTCTTGTTCCTCCAGGATGGTGAATATTTCTTCTCAGCTGAATCAGTGAAAGTCCTTCAGGGTTTGTTGGACAGCAGCTCTGCCACCCAGCAGAAGAGCCCTCGCCTGGCCACGACCAGCTATGCCTCTGTCTGCGCCAATCCAACCCTGCCGCAGGAGTTTGTACCCATATGCAACCAAAGTGGGTCCAGCTTGGTCTTCTCCAGACTAGGTGAGCAACAGTGCTGGGAGGAACATTAAGCCCTTAAATTCTAAGCAATTGGAACCAAAAATTCTGAGGCAGCTGCCCATTGGCTTCTATTATGAGTCTAGTTTGAGTCAACAAAGTTTTGCTTAGCTTCTAAGTTTAGGAAAAAATCAAAATTAACATCCACGACAATTCACTCTACACATATAGGTTAGGTTGAAACATTACAGGTACTCCAGTTAGTCCAGTTGAGTCCAACAGGAGTAACATTACTCCAAATAGTCCAAACTTTAGTGCTGTAAGATGGAAAAAGCAGAGGTTGACTGAAATAGAGGCTAAAAATCATGTACACAGCTTGTTACCACATGAAATACATTTTTAGACTGAAAAATAAAATCATTTGCATTGTCTATATTGCATAAATACTAGAATATAGTCCTGAATAATAAGTCTTAATATTAATAACTAAGTTGCATATAGAAATTCATGGCAGTCTCCCTTTATAAGCACATTCACTGCTGACTCTATGCAGCATTGTCTGATTATTTTTCCATATTTTTCCTCCTCAGCTGCCATGCCCATGGACGTGTGCGAGATCTGTGCTTTTGCCGCCTGCACCGGCTGCTAGACCCTCATCCCTCTTCCAAATGACAAAGGAATGTCTTCACTTTTACCGATTCAATATGCAAACCCACGTTTCCTTTGCCTTCACGTAAAATGGCGCCCTGATCCGTATGGCAGACTGTTTTGGAACTGTTACTTGTCGTTTTGAAAGCATGCACTTAAACCTAAATCAGTCTGGAATTTAAATGAACTGTAATGTTTTTTTTTCTTGTGTTACAGCATAACGTTTCACTTATTTAATGAAAGTAGTGTAGTCTTATTTTTTCTACTTCTTGTATTTCTTACATTTTCATATTCTTGTGCAATAAAATGCCTTGAAAAAGGATCCGGGTCCTTTGGCTGTTTTTGCAGCTGTGACTGTGTTAAAGAAGCTTTTAGACTGCATGTTTATTGGTTGGCATGTAAGAGAAGTAGGAATTAATGACAACCAGTCATTTCTGAATGGAGCACACTGAGTTAATCAGATAAAGATTAGACTGAAAGCTGCTGGAAGACCTTATTTAGTATGATGATATAATAGTGAAATATCTGATTTTTTTCTCTGACTACGACGCTGTAAAAGCCAATTGGCGTTTTGAGTTTAAAAAGTTATTGTCTGGGCTGCCTTTACATTTTAAGTTATTTGGATTAATAATATGGACAAATAATAAGTTGATAGGGCATAAAACACACTTACCAAAAACAGTCACAGTTTATTTTTACGTGACCATTTTTCAACCTCTCTCTGTTGTTATTACTATGTCTTCAAGACTGATATATGTAAACGACCCCTATTCTGATTGGCCGAAAGCAATTCCAGTTGAAGTAGAGTTCCAGTTGAAACTGAACAGGTGTGTATATGTACCTGCCTTGTTTGTTTGTCATGACATCACAAAAAACTGTTGAAGTCAAAATGGGCTGTTTTGGCAGATTAGTTTATGGTCATATGCAAAAGTTTGGGCACCCTAACTGAAATTATGTTTTGTTGATTTTCGTAGCGAAGAGAAAATATGATTATTAATGTTTATTTGCTGAATTTAGCATTTTGGGAAAAAGAAAAAGTTGTGCAAAGTTAAGTTATTTCATATTTTACGTTCACCTAGATCATCAATTGAAATTGTGCACTAAAATTTGCAGTAAAGTAGAAGTGTGTTAAAAAAATCAACAAAACACATCATTTGACCAGACATACGTATAACAGTATGGACTGGGAACTGAGGTTTGAGACTTTACAGTGCTTATATACTTATATATATACTGCATGAAACACTTTTATTAAAACAATTAAAAGAAAAACGTGAGTAAACTGTGATTATCCAGTATGCGGGTCCTTTAAACCTTCATAAGGAATAAACTGAGTGAACGATGTGGGACTGTCACTGGGAGGTGTGTGTACATGTATATCTGCATGATGAGCTTTTATGTACTTTCACACACCATCAGTGACTGTTTGAGCACGTTTGTAATTCCTCAGGTTTGACATGTGAACGTAGTAGCACTGTAAATCTCTGACCTCATAATGATTCAGTACACTTATGATTCTTCACCAAATGACTCCGTGAATCAGAAAGTCTCAGATCTCACAATGATTCAATTAAATTGGATCATGTTGGAAAAATTCAGAGTGATTTATTATAATAAACTGAATACACAAACAATTCACACAGGCGTGGACTATAAACAACAAAAAGAACATATCAGGCTTTTTTTCAATTTCCAGGTTTGAAATATGATTTCAGACAAAATCATATTATTAGTATAAGCATTTTATATATTTTATTTATCACATTTACATTATTATTAGATGTTTATTGTAGTTGTTTCAAAGTAACTTAAGCATTTCAAAATTTTGTCACATTCAGATTCACAGGTGTAGATTTAGGGGAGGCAGAGAAGAACTGTCCTCTTCATTAAATGCATAATACGTGTCAAAACTAAAAGTAAATAAAAATGCAAAATGGATAAACATACAGCAAAGTGACAGTTTGCAGTTCAGTTTTCAGTGTGAACTGGATTTGCCTCACATAATTCAGACTGGTTTGGTGTGAAACGCTCTGTTCTAGAGAAACTTAGTCAGAGTTGTTCACAGTGTTTAACCAGATGTCCACAGAGTTTAATGCCTCCAAAGACTCCCTTGCTGAAAGCTATTTTATGAAATGATTATAATTACACTGCCTCACGTCTGAGACATCGTTTTCAATAGTTTTGAAAAGGTTTTGGACTAAAATGTATTTTTAAATTCCATTAATGGCAGAGAGGTAAAGGCAGGGTGTTGAGAGGCACAATAGTCCCTGAAGGGAACAAGTTTTTTTTCAAATTTATCAATATTTATCAACCTCCATCAACATTAAAAACTCAGAGGACAGGGTTATGTTCACTGGTGGTTTTGGTTAGTAAATAAAATGAATATTTGTGTTGTAGTCATCTGACCGCTGGTTCGTATCACCATTATAAATAAATCTGAGTTGGTAAGTTTTGTGTACGTCAGGTACACCATATCATTTTTGAATGACTATGGCTTAAACAGAGAGGATCTTTACACACCTATGCACAGACTCATGGGAAATGCAGTCCATACACAATCGGCATCTGTCATGTTTCTTTACGGTACACTCTCAGAAATAGGGAACATAACTGAACCATAATCCACTGAAATGATATGTTCTAAGCTGTACTGACTCCACACACCCCGTCTCGTCTCCAGGCTTTTATTTTACTGTTCTGTTTAAAACATTCGGTTATGAAAAGGTACAAATACGAACTTTTCACCTGGAAAAACTTATTTAAGGTTCACAATCAGACCTTAAAACCACTGTAGAACCTTTGAGGGAACATTTACACTGTTTGTACCTTGATGAATGAAAAATGTACCTGAACAGAACCTTCATTTCTGACAGTGTAGTTTGTGGAACCAGCTCCACTTTTGTGACGTTAAAGACCGTCAAGAATGCTTAAAAGTGTGGTAAACTAAACAGATAAGCTGTCTTAATGTCAGACATGGCCAGCTTTTATTCTGGCACAGCTTTTAGCTCACTGCTGGATTAAACAGACTGTTGTAGTGTTGTACACTCTAGAAAAAAGATGGTTCTTTAAGGGTTCTTTAGCAAAAAAAAAAACGTTCTATGAACGATCAAAGACCCCTTTGTGTGAAAGCATTCCTCAGATTGATGGAGAATGTGCTGTAGATGGTTCTGTATAGAACTTTTTAAAAAAAGATTTTATATAGCACCAAAAAAGGTTCTTTTATCATTACAATAGAAGAACTCTTTTTGGTACATAGAGCCTTTTTCAAACAGATTCCATGTAGAACCATCTACGGTACATCTTCAGCAGACTGCAGAACCCTTTCACCCAAAAAACCCTTTAATCATGCAAAGGGTTCTCTGAGTGTTCATGGTTCTATATAGAACCATTTTGTTTAGTAAAGAACCCTTGAAGAACCGTCTTTTAAAGTGTGTTTTTAGTGGTTTAGTAGGTCCAGCAGGTTTATTTACTTTGTTACAGCTTGAAAGAAGCTCTAAATCTAAAGGGATGAATCTGAATCTTTCTGACACCTAAATATGTCTAATTAGTGCTGTCAGGTGTCTGATTTTGGATCGGAGAGTCTGATTTTGAATTCTGCTGTCTGTGCTTGGTTGATACTGTTGACCAGATGCTAAAATCTCTAACTGAGTCTCAATCTAAAGGCATTCAATCTGCTGAAGTTGCTAAAGTGCCATTCTAGTTCTGTCATTGTGCTTCTCTCACTCAGCCCTCTGAGTAAATAGCAATGAAAAAAGGGAAGCCTGGAATTCGGACTATTTTTAGGCGTTAAAGGCAAGTGTGAGTGTAAATATGGCAGGTCAGGTGGTATGGGCAGTGTGGCCCCCCCACCTATTCAGATCGATCCATCATGATGAAGAAGCACTATAAATATTCTTCAATGTCAGACAAACTGATAAACAATTTTAATTATCTACAATCAAGATACACTACTCATCCAAAAGCATCCAGACAGCCCTTCCCTTCTCTTTTTGAATTCGGCTACTTTAATGTGCACCCACTGCATTTAAATGCGCACTACAGCTTGTATAATCTCCACAGAAAAGAACTGGCAATAGAATAGGACACTTACCACAAGTCACCATACCAGAGTCCAGCACTGGGCTGTGGAGCAGTGCAACTGCATTCTCTGGATCCAATGTCTTTATAATGAGATGGAGTGAGGTTTGTAATCCAGAGCTAATCCTCCAACATCAGTGACCTTACAAATGCTTTTGTGACTGAATGCAATCAAATCCTCACAGCAATGTAACATCTAGTGTAAAGCCTTTCCAGAAGAGTTGAGTGTGTTTCTGTAGCAAAGGGTGAGAAACTACTTATTAATGTTCATAAGAAACATTGGATAAACAGGCGTCTACAGATATTAAGACATCTGTATCTGGGTCATTCTACAGAAACGTCCATTTTTGTGTCCCTAGCATTAAGAGATATATTACACTTAAAAAACATGTTAGAGTTGCAATTTATTTATATTTTCAAATAAAGCAATAAGTTATATTAACAGTTACACCTTCTTCAGCCATGAATTTAGCAATATTGGTATTTAAATCAATTATCTAGAATTCCAAGCACCACAGAAGAGCTCGTCCTCACAGTCATGTGTGAAGGCTGAGGCCATATTTTTTTTTTTTGCTATTTTAACTACAATAATCTATACATGACTATGAAATATATAAATTAAATAACATGTAGAAAACAAAGGCCAAATAAATATTGTAAAATATATAATGAAAGTTGTCCCCAGGAGTCGTGTCACTGGTGTTACTGCATAACAAAAAATCTCTTATTTTGAAATAAAAGTCACACTGATGACATCACTTGACTTCTTTTACCTGTTTTCTGAGGATCTATGAAGAAAAGCTCATGGTGAGTCCACTGTGTCTTTCAGTTATCAGAGATTTTCTCATTCAGCTCATGATTTCATATGAAGCTTTTAGCTGAAGTCACTGGTGTGACCGACTTTATTCTGAGGTAACTGTGAAAAAATAGAACACAAATGGATTAAATTCCATATTTTAGTGGATGTTCCATGATTGACAACATGTGGTTTGATGCTCTGTAGCAGTTATTCTGTAAAATGCATTGTTCATTAAAATGTCTCTGGTGTTCCCTTTATTATGTGGAACACCAATGAGGATCAGTAACACCAGTGACCCCTATGGAGAGATAGAAAAGTGGACGTTTGACCCATCTATCTGTGCAGCCACTGACATGGAAAACATCTGGATGTGCTAATAATAGTCCTGTCCACATTTACAGTAGCAGTTAACACTTACGCACACACTTAATTTTTACTATTTTCTC